AGAGTGCAGATGTTAAAGATGTAGATGCGGTGCAGCTTTTATGTTTTGTCAGCCTGTAAAAACGTAGAAAGAAATGTATTTTTTTGACGCCGAATAAATTGACATGGGCAAAATGATGTCAATTATTGTCTTAAATTTCGGTTTATCACCAAGCCCTATTCTGATGTCCAAATGGCTGTTTATGGAGTCTTATGTGGTGGACAGGGGTCAGCATGGGCACCCTGACCAGTTACCCTTTTTTTCCAGTTTGCCTATTTTGATAATAATTTCAGCTCCTACAGAAATAAATTGCTGTAAATGGATGTATAATTATGACAAAATGCCAATAACTGTCTTACTAAATCAGCCAAAAGATGAACCGGTCAATTTAAGGATGGTCTTGTTAGTCTGAACTCAGAAAGAGGGACACCATAATGTCATATTGATTTGGGTCGAATTATGATAAATACACCACAAAATGAAACCACAGAGTAACACTGACCAAGATCAGACCGTTTCAACAAGTGTGTGTTTTTGGCATTCTGCTGTGCTGGTGTGAATCCAGACACACAAAGTCACTTGCACACCTGCTCTGTAATTCGAGACACAAGTAACTAAAGGAACGCTCCACTAATGCACCAAGCAATTATAAAGTAATTACCCAGTTTAATAAAGTTGTCTCACTAATAATGATTATGCTGAAATTAGTAGCTTATAATTTGTTGAAAATTACTGCCAACTGAAAAATAAAACGAAGAAAAAAAAAACACTTTCACAATTCATTGTGCACCGAGTAATATTTATGCAAAATATCCACTATCATAAGTTAAGTTTGATCATTGGAGTCAAAATAAATAAAGGTTTACTTGAAAAATGTTTCCTGGTCTGGAGCAGACTACCTACTTAAAATTATCAACCAGTAATGTAATATAGCAGATTATTCAAATGTAATCATAATCTTATTGCTTTCATTTACTTTAAGATTGGTTTGCCTCTAGACTCAATTAAGTATTTTGTTGAACAGACAATTTATTCGTTTCTAATTTGCAGACTAATTTGAACTGGGATATTATCCTCCTCTTCGAACATTATCAGCTGTTATTTCCCAGAAGTGTGTCATCTGACTACAGCTGCAGCGAAGGTGGCCGGGTTGTTCCTCAAACAGAAATACGGGGGAACACAAACAGTGTGATCTTTGCTGTTTGCTGGAGTTCGTGACGTGACTTGCCAGCCTGTAAGCCTACACTCATTTAAAGTGCGCAGTCACATTCATGATACATTATAATACTTCAACTCTCACTGTTTAGATCTTGCATCAATTATCTTGTATTGAGCATCTTCAGATTTGTAAATGTCCTACTCAGGTGCACAATCAAAACCCACAAAAAAGCCCTGTTGGTATTTATAATTACTGTAATTTGTGTGTGTTTTGTTAAAATGACTGGCTGACTCCCCAGAGCGAAGAGTGTATAGTAGGGTAAACAGAAACTGAAGCACAGTGGCTGGGATTGTGATTAAAGAAATGCACAGAGATGTCATGTTATGTTTTGCATCACAAAAAGAAAAAGAAAAAAAAGTGTAGTAAGACAAAATAATAATAATAATAATAATAATAATAATAAAATAGAATAAATAAAATAAATAAATAAATAAATAAAAAAACCTTGCCAAAGTAAGAAGTAAGTTTTATCCAAGACCAAAGCTATCTACTAATATTCTTTTTTTTTTTTGGTATTTTAATGCATCCACGCTCAAGCCTCAATTATTCTCTCTTTAGTGCATCTAACTGGAAACCTCACCAAGTCGAGCAAATAAATTTCAAAGCAGAATCTGTCGATATATGCAAGCAGGCAGAGTAAGAGAGAGCTCTTTCGCCCAATTTGTTCAAAGAAGGATTCAAAGAAGGAGTCAGGATTCAGCCTCAGGCAGCTTCTGGGGACAATCACCCATAACTTCTCTTTTAGTCGGCTGAATTCATTTAAGGCTGAGAAACACGGCAGCCGAACGTAGAAACACCTCTGTTTGTTTTGTAACATGTAACCGACACTGAGAGCGCCACAGACTAAGTGTGAAACAAAGCAGAAAACAGAAGTGACAGACACAACAGAGAGATCCTGTTTACCTGTGCATCCTAAACACTCCTCCTCACTCCTACCTGATAATCCACATGAGACGACTGATGCTTCGAAAACCTGCATTCACCTTCACTTTTTGCGTCGGGTTAACCTTAAGGTGGCAGCTCTCTGAATGTTACACCCTCCACATGTGGACCTTTTAAAATGTCACTTTGCACTATTATGCTACTGAGGAGCGGGACAAAGAGAGGAGGGATGTGCAGGAAGAGGAAGGAGGCAAATGATAGGGTGTTTTTTTATATGGTCTTAATCAGAGGAAATCCAAATTATGCACAACTCGCTGGGCTCCACAGGGGGCTCAATTGAAGAGAAATCTGGGTAAAAAGTGTGGGTCTGCGAAAGGCTACAGATCTGATTGGCTCATTTTCTGATGTGCTCATTTACATCGAAATAGATGAATAGCGGCATTGAACCGCAGGGCAAAGAGTCTCTCTTGGTTCAAAGAATTTCTTTCTACGTTTTTACCGGCTGACAAAACATTAAAGCTGCACCACGTCTTCATCTTTAACATCTGCACTCTCTGTTAACAAGGACATGAAAAACTAAATCAAGGTCTTTGGTTTCAACTGGATGCCAAACTGCTGATGAAACATTTCATACTCCATGCCTGAAGTTATTGCTCAGCTAAACATCAGTCAAACTATTATAACCTGTTTTTAATTTCGAAATAAATGGGAAAAAAAGCTTTTAGGAGTGTCTGAGCTTTTAGCAGGTTGACACATGAGCCTGAAGGCCATACATTTTTGTTTTTTAAAACTTCAACCAAGCACAATCGCTTTTTTGGTTAAATTCCTCGCATTGCACAAGTCTTTGGCTTCTGTGAAGAACAATCTATTTGAACAAATCCGACCTCTGGTTCGGCTAGTTTTCAAAACTTTAAAAAGTAGTACCTTGACATGAATCTACAACAAAACAAAGATGTTACACTTACTTTTTAGGCCAATAACATGAGGTAAATCTGTGTGCAGAAGCTAGGGCTGGGCGGTAAACAGAAAATTTACTGATACCGAAATTTACAACAATAACCGACGTCATTTTGCCCATGTCAATATATTCAGTGTCTAAAAAAAAAAATACATAAAAGTTGGTTTTGGATGTGTGTAGGTAGGCTATGGTCTCGTGTCCTTTTAAGATGCTGTCCTACGTTGGAGACGTGACTCCACCCCAACCAGTCCATAACAAAGAGGGAGAGACAGGTGAGGAGATGGAGGACGGTTCAAAAGTTGTAGCGGCTGAAGTAGACAAAGTTAATGTGGGAGGGGGTGAGCAGCTTGTGGAGTAGTTATCGTCCATTTATCGTTATCGAGGTGAACTGCTTAATATATCGTGATATTGATTTGAGGCCATATCGCACAGCCCTAGCAGTATCTCCCTCTCCTTTCTCACACTGATGAAGTGAATGTGCGGTGCCAGCACTGACACATGATAACAAGAAATCTAAGATGACAGCCACTTTAAATCACCTCAGGGTCAACTATGAGTGCTTGACACTAGGACAAATTGGCCAAGTATGGCAACCCTCCACACCCTGTACAGTCAAATATGCCTCACTATGACGCTGTGTAACTCATTGGTCTCCTTTATGTTGTCATGGAGCTCACCAAGAGCATTTCCAGTTACTGCAAGATGAGTGGGAGGAGTCAAGCATCATCTGTGATCTGTAACAGCCACATTGAAACTTTCAGTTGTTGTTATCCCGTATTACATCTCTGTGACATAACAGAGGATCAGGAGTCCAGTTTCACACAAGCTACGTAGCTCAGAGGGAGGTCGTGCTGACACACGAGTGAGAACAGGAACGAAGTGTGTGGAGGGATAGAAGAGGAAGAATAGCAGAAGAATTAAATAAAAACAGTGAGAGACTGGTGTGTTCAGATGTGTACTTTCCAACAATTCACACACAGCCACACACACACACAAAACAGACAAAAACACAAGAGCAAGCCCTTTCTGGACCAGCTTCTCTCCTGCTGCCAGATCTGCCCATGCAGTCCTTTGTAAAGCCCACAGTAACCTTCATCATGCCAAGAAAAACTTGACAAGATCTGCTATTTTCAGATATCAGCTGTCATAGTGTGTTTCATTTCCTCTAAAGAGCTTTAATGAAGTTCTAATGCATCAAAACAGACAAAGAGAGATACTCAACCATGTTTGTAGGATTGGTTGAGAGAAGAGACAGGTGTTTAGATTCAGTTTAGATATTTGACTCTTGGATGTACTCTAGTCGTCTAGAAAACTACCGTGGAGGATACTTGGTCCTAGATTTACCTAAGGTGACACAAAAAATTAAATATTTTTGCCAAATTTTCTTCAAATTTGAAATTATGACACATACCTGAAAAGAGCCCACAGGAACATTTTTAAAAAGGTGGATTTATCTGACCGAGGTTTGCTTTAAGTGGATAAATGCATGGGTATAAGATGTAGTGAAAGAAAGGTATAACACCCCCAAAATGGAGGAATTTAAAACACACACTACATGATAGAAATACAAATAAAAACTGACTCCATGCCACTTCATATTGATGCAGTAATTCATGCAAAAGAAGCCCTGACCTTAGTCCATATGAGGCTTTTGTTTTCACTTCAGTGGATTAGAGGGCAGTGCGAGGTTGAAACCTAAACACAATATGTCCTCAATCCCACAACCACAGACAGGAACAGGAACAAGGTAATTCATTTAGTCTAATCTTTTATTTTACTGTTGTATTTTCTGTACCTTTACACTGTGTAAAAACAGAATGAAAACATGTTGAACAATGGAATCATTTTCCAGGATTAAAAACTTGAATAGATTCATTTCATGACTAAGTGGTGACTTTTCTATGTACTAAAAAAGTCATGTTATACCTTACTGTAATTCTGATCCCAAAAAAATACAAGACATTTAGTCACAACATTAATGATGAATTTATTCAATCAGTTTACAGGAATGGGTTGTGAACAAATTTTAGCAACACACAAAAAGATCTTTTAAAAATAAAATAAAAATAAAGCCAGGACAAAGAAATTTCACTGAAACAAGAGAGAAAAAAAGGTCTAAATTCTAACTTATTGGACTAAATACCTGATGATAATGCAAATGAGAAAGTACAGCCAGTAAGCCTTTTATTGGATTTAACAGATAAACTGAAAATGTAAAGGTAAAAATAACACAATAAATGACATTTTTAAATGTAATCTTTTAAAGTTCACAACTGTAAATGACTTTACACACTTAGACCCATAAACACACAGTAAACTGTATTGTCCAAAACAGTTTCTGATTAAAAGATACTTTTCTTTTATAAAGTCAAAATCAATCAAACACAACAGAGGATATATACCTTAATGATTGGAGCTGTAAAAATTCTTTAAAGGATAACACATTATTCAACACACTAAAGTACTGTTTGTCTGTATGTACAGAAGCAAAACTCTAAAATCTGTTAGTCACACAAAACTCTTCAAATACAATGCACACTGAATCAATCTAAAGACCTTTAGTCAGATCAAAATGAGTCCAAACATGAGCAATGACTCCAAAAATATTCCTGATAAAAAAAACAAAAACAAAACAAACTTAGTGAACTCCTTTGTCATGCAGAATTAACAAAAAAACAGTCATTCACTGCTTTTCTTCATGTTGGCATTGGCTTTTGTTGTAAAGTATCTTATGTGCTAATAAAATCTTCAGCTTTGTCACCCTACTCAGCATAGTACTTCTTTTGATTTCCTTCTTTCACACTCAAAAAACTAACTCAAAGGATCCATGAAAGGAGAAGTTTACTTACTCAAGGTCAGTGAGGGGAAATATCGTTAAGGTTTCATTTAACCTGGAATGACCTTTTCAGACTCTCTTCCGCATGCTGCTTTTTGATGTCTTTCCATGCATCAGGAATTTCAGCAGGCTTTGCATCATATTCCTTAGCAAACTTGTGGTTAAACCTGTTCAGAACATATTTCCAATAGTCTGAACTCTCAAGGCTTGTGTCTGGTGCAATTAGCCAGTCAGGGTAGATTTCTTTGTACTGTTTGTAGGGGTGGTATTCATTCTTTGTGGCTTTACAGCGGAATTTAATGTCACTGTTCACAGAGGAAGTGCAGATGTCAATGAGAAGTTTCTCTGATTTAGTCCATCTGTATCTGCCCAGACCCTCTGGTCGATGAGATGAAGCGAAGTGCTCTTTATGCACTTCGGCTCCAGCCTCACAGGGTGCTTTGCAGAATGGACACTGTTTACCACATCCAATGAGCTTATTGTAAAGCTCATCCTGAGGTTTTACGACAACATTTGCAAGTTTCATTTTGATGTCTGTGTTTTCAAACTCCTTCGAAAGAGTTTCTGTCAAGTCTGTCACATACACTTTGAGACCCTGAGCGAACTGTTTGTGGTTGACATTGTTCAGGACCATGAAAGGACTGAGAGAATCCTCAGTAATGACCAGAGTATCAACAAGTTCTTCACGGAAGTCTTGAATAAATTTCTCCAGGTTACCACCTTCCTTTGTTTGAGCTTTGTCCACTGCAGCAGTTAAGATCCTGATACTTGACTTGAGATGTTGCTCCTCAAACTCTGACACAGACTCATTGGTCAAGAGCTTTTCTATTTCATCAAGGATCCATTGCCTGACAAACTGCTCATATGAGCAGATATAGCTCAGGTAGTCCTTGAAGTTATCCCTTTTAAGTAAATCCAGTAGGACTGAATACTGGAAGAACATTCGGGTGCTGAACTGGACCTTCTCCTTCATGACACCAACGATATCCATACCAAGGGAGCTTTTGACAAAGTCTTCCACAGCTGGTTTCAAGCAGTGGTCTGTGAACTCTTCTGCTTTTTTCTGGCAGAGGTCTAGCTCATGAAACTCATCCTTGAAATTTACTCTGAACCTCTCTTTGTTTTGGTGGAGACATCTGTAGGGGTCGTTCATGTCAATGAAATCTTCATGCATTTTCTGAAAATCCCTGGCTGCGAATGAACAGATGTGCTGTTTCAGAGAAACCTCAAAGGCTGTCTTTATCTCAACATCCTGGTTGTTTTCCAGCTTCTCATCGATCATGAGTAGGATCTCCTGAATGAAGGTGTCATGGTAGTCGGTTTTTCTGTTCTCTTTTTCTCTCACAAATTGTGTGCAATCGTTAATGATCTGCTCAGCCAGTCTTTGTGCCTTATCTTCAGCCCCAAGCAAACCGTGGAACCACTGTTTGACTCTTCCATCGAATGCATTTTTGAAAGGGACCTTTCCACAATCTTCCAGTCTTGTTTTATCTAAGAGTTCACATGCATGACTTCCCTTCGGTTTTAGGTGTTTTTGTAAACAGATATATGCTTTTGTCAACACATTGATGTCCTTTTGTTTTGGAAAATGTTGCTCCTCTACCATTTTACTCCACATGTTGTCGAATTCTGTGTCCAAGTTTTCGTCTGTCATGTCAACTTTTTTTTTATGGCATTCTTCAATCAATGCTTGCACTCTCTCTTTCAGTTCTTTTGTGTGGCTCACCTTGATTTTGTCAACTTTTATCATCCCTTTTCTGATGTCTGTTGCAACGGTGAGCTGGTTTTTTACAGACCTCTCCATATTTCGGTGAAGGCTCTTTGCACTGTTGGCAAAGTCTTCCCTGTATGGTTCCACAAGATGGACATGACCTCCTGTTTGCTTGAAGTACTTTTCCAGATTGTCAAGAAGCTTTTTCTCCCATTTAGACAGCTCTGAGCATGCTTCGCTTTCCAAATGTGTGAGAAGTTGTCCAATGTCAGACATCTCAGATTTCACCATGCCAAAGTTAGAGATTTTTGTTTCTGCCTTTTTTGTCCATGAGTACATTTCCATTTTGAATTCCCATTCCCACTTGTTGAATTCTGTGCAGAGCTTCATGTATGCATCAGCCACCAGGCTGTTTCTGAAGCTGAAGATGAAGTTTTCATGCTTGACAGCTCTCCACAGGTTTGTTATCCACTTTGAAAACTCCAAGATGTTGTAAGCAGAAGTCTCACTTTTTCCCAGAATCTCAAAGATGCTCTTCTTGAGCTCATAAGCAGCCTCGCTGTACCCTGCATTAACTGGTGCCATTGGTGGACTCCCGCTCCAGAGCCCTGGGATGTACTTGGTTCCAGTGTCTGGACTGTATTCGATCACATCAGTGAAGCTCTTGTAGTCCTTTTTTTCCATTTTGGCTGCTGCTTGAGTCATCTCATTTAGGTGCTCCAGGAGCAGTTCTCTTTCTCGCAGGTTCTTTCCAGAGGCTGATCTATCGGCCACATTCTGATGAACAAAGAGACACTTCGGTTTTTTGCCCACCTCCTTCATCCTCAGGAACGCATGAACCACTATCTGTAGGATGTCCTTCATTTCTACTGCATTCTCCATTGCAAGATTGACAAGAGTAATATCACTTAACCCCACCACGAGAGTTGCAAGCTCATTGTCATGTTCATAGCTGTTGTCTAGTTTTGAAAGCTCTGGTGACTTCAAGCCCTCAGTGTCGATGATCATCAAGAAGTCACAGTTCAGCTTTTTTTTTACATCTTCATTCACTTTTATGAGCAACATGAAAGCACCTCGAGTGCATCGACCAGTGCTAACTGCAAACTGAACTCCAAACATGGTGTTGAGGAGTGTAGACTTCCCTGTACTTTGAACTCCAAGAACTGTGACTACCAGTATCTTGTTTTTAGGAGACACCAAGCCATTGAGCTCAGACAGAACATCAGTCACCCATCTGAGAGGTATGTTAGACACATCACCATCTACAAGCTCCACTGGAAATCCATCGAGCAACAACTCTGCACATAGTCTGGGAAGATGCTCTAACTGTTGACGTGACTCATCTGTTTCTGGAAGAGAGACTGAAGCTTCATAGATCTGACCCATTTCACGGAAGAAGTGTTCAATCCCAAGTGAGCTGCTGGAAAGTTGTCTGTCAATTTCTTTGATTTCCTCCTTGTTTTCAGGGCTCTTATTTTTGTTTTTGTAAGCCTCTCTGAGTTCAGATAGTTTCTCTCGGGACAGATTATCAAGATTCATTTGCATCCATTTCAGGAAGTAATGCCTTTCAATATCTGAACCTGAGATTGCGGTGAAGAAACGTTTCATTGCATCAGATGTATTGCAGGAGTTCTGTTTTTTCCGAAGCTGTGCTTTCTGTTTCCGAAGATCACTTTTGTACTTTTCTATGTTTTTAGACCCAACTTTTCGAAGCCGAAACTCTTCCTTCTCTAAGCAGGAAAGTTCCTTCCATGTTTCACCTTGCAATGGCAGCTGAGCTTCTTTGTATTTCAGGATATCTTCAATTTTTTCAGTGGCAGCATTCGCATTTTTCTTTGCTTCCTGGCACTTTTCACAGTCCTCATCACCCTGGATTTTCAATTTACGGGCAATGTCTGCCATCTCTTCAATTCTTATCTTTGTCTTAGGGTTCTCGACTACGTTGCTGAGTGTTTGATGCAGAATCTTTATGAAGTCTGCATCATTAATTTGAGAAGTCTTCAGCAGGATTTTAGTTTCAGTCATCTTGTTTGCAACCTTTTCCACAGCATCCATATTGAATCGCTGGCTTTGATGGTTACCAACTAAGAAGATCTGTGCCTTGTTGTGGTCCAGGTTTGAAAGCAGCTTGCACTCAGAGTCTAGACTGTCAAAGAACACAAAAACTGCTGCAGATGTCTCACACAAAAAAGAGAACTGAGTTTCAAAAGAAGTGACATTCCCTCGAAGGTTAGCTACAGCCACCGGCACACTGAAAACATCCATGTTTTTGTTCCCACAGGGTAGGTACCAGGAAATCTCAGTCAATCCATTGGATATCTGTCTTGGGCAGTTACCATTCTCCATGTTACGGTGAACAAAGGTGTCATGGTACTGCTGGGAGTTGCTCAGAAGTTTGTTAAGGATCTCTGACTTGGACAAGGAGCACTCACCCAGTCTCACAAAAGAAACCATTGGAAGTTTAGAGACAACAATTCTGTCTTCAACAAAGCCCCTGGACTCTGAGAGCAATGAAGGTGTGTAACTTTTAACTATGTCTCTCATGGCCCAGAGCATGAGTGTGCACTGCTTTGTGTCACAGTTAGGAAGCAGCAGAGGCACAGCGAACTGACACATGGACATTTTGAGAACTATTTCTTGCTGAACAAAACTATCAGAACACAGAAACAGAGCAGTGATAATGTCAAGGGGATTCAGTGTGTCATTTGATTGCAGACCTTTTAACAGTCCAACTAAATCTTGCACTGTTCCATCCATGAGAGCAGCATAGGCTGATTCAGATGTTGATGCGAATTTCACATTTCTAGCTGTCACATTAACCATCATCAGTTTCTTTAGAAAATACCATAGAAGATCTGAATTACACTCGTTAGGTTCATCAGTGATGGTCTTCTCATCAATCTGGAGTATTCTGCTGAGGGACAGCTTCTCTTGGTAGAGGTGCTCAAGTTTCATGTCCTTCAACAGCTTCTCCAGTTGTCTCTCTGTGGGAATAAACATTTTTGTTATTTCAAATCAGTCTTTGATCATTTCAGTATCTAATACAGTTGCTCAATGGTCTGTGGTCTCTGTTGTTGTCATTTTGTGCTTCAAAAAAATGGGAGATAGGTCTGGACTGCTGGCAGGCAGGTATAGTACTCTGTACATTGTTTTTATTCACATTTTACACAACGTTGTTCAATGGAATTGAGGTTTGTATGTAGTTCAGTCAGAATCATTTTTGTCTAAAGAGTGTATGACTTGCCTAATTATTACTATGCTTAGTTTTGTAGTGCACCATTTAAATTACTAGTTTTGTTTTGTTGGCTTACAAGAAGGTAAAAAAATATAAAGTTCCACAGGGTATGTGTCGGTCTTTTGTTTTTATCAAGTTTGTTTATTTGTTTTTGTTGCTTGTGTCATCTCTTGCACACTGATTCTCTTCTTTGGTTTGCCCTGGCCATGAAGCAGCTATGTGCTCTGAAAAAAAACACCTTTTTATATCGTTTTATTTAAAAACGTAGAAAACTAAGTCACCATATTCACCTGGAATGGCAATAGGTGGAGGGAGGGTGTGAAATGAAAAGTTCCAAGTCATCAAAAAAATGTATCAAGACGTTGTGTTTCTATAAGACCTTCATTTCTGAATCAAATTAAAAGTTTTTGAAAACACCTTAAAAAGAGGATGAAAAATCTCAAAACACCAATTTTCAAACCAAAATGGCCAACCTCTGGTTGGACATGGCCCATGGGTCCAAGAGGCTTTTTCGTTCGTCTTTAAGTTCAACATTAGTGTCCCAGATTCCATAGCTGTAGGTAACACATAGAGGAGTGGCTTAATTTTTGAAATTTTATAGGGGGCGCTATGAAGCCAATATTAGTTGGATCTCTATTTTGACTCCGGATCTGTGTACCATATTTTATGTGGCTGTGCATTTCTATAGCAATATGACAGATTGCTACTTTTTTTTAGACATTTCATAGCGCCACCTAGGCGCAGTTTAGCGAAACATGGTGCTGATTTTCTTGCCGTGAACAAATCTCAGCTGCATCCCATTATTAAAGAAGGAGTGACAGGCCATTAGCCAAAAAATTGATTCCTCTCTGCCGCCAGGTGGCGCTACAACAAATAGATGTAAGTTTGGTGTCAAATTGTCCGGAGCATTATCAAATGACTAAAATCTGGTGGAGATGGAACCAGTGTAAGGGGTTATACAGGAAACTCCACGAGCATGAAAACTGTAGGGTGGGCTAGAGAGCAATTTTTTCTCCTCCATGTAGGGGCCCAGTGAAATATGCAAATTTTTGCTGGTCCGAGCTGCGTGCCAGATTTCATGAGCTTTTGAGCCCGTCTAGGGGATTTTCAAGTTGAAAAACTTTTAAAGTTAATACTAATAAATAATTCCTACAATTTCAATAGGGCTCTCGCCTGCTGTTTGCAGTGTTGGTTCGGGCCCTTATTAGACAAATAGGCTGACAGAGGGGGAAATTAAAGGAACTTTCTTCAGACCATTAAAAAAAATTACCTTTAAAATATACAAAAACTTCAATTACGATATGATAGTCGTTTACTAAAAAATGATCAAATCACTGAAAAAAACTCAAATTATTACATAAATTGTCTCATAAAACAGGTAAACAGTTGAATAACTTAAGTTAAAGAATAGTTAAAAGAAATATTGTAACCCTGAAGGACATATCTCCTCATCTGATAACTGAAAATAAAATAACAGAAAATCTGGAACTTTTTATGGAAATACATCATGATTTGAAAAGACATAAAATACTGATCATTTGGCCTTTTTAAACTCAGTCGAGAGGTTTGTAGGATGAACAAAGAGTTAAGAAAAGAAATAATGCTGTCAGAGTTTAAGAGGGCAATTGATAATTTTCTCCAAAGAAGGCACAAAGTTTTGATGGCCTACCAATTAAGTTTTACTCTTTGGTTTGACCACAGAATTGTTCATTAACTTTTTTTGTTATAAACAATGTATAAGGACACAATGTTCTTCAAAAAAAAAACAAAAAAACAAAGTATCAGGCAATAACTGATTTAATACATAGCGCAGATCAGAAGGACAAAACCCCATCTATTATCAACCAACAAGTCCTAGTGACTGTAAAGACAAGAAGAAACAAGATCAGTTAGAGCGACAAAGTGCTCCAAGTCCATTTGGACACAGGTGCTGCCAAGCAGTGTTAACTAAGATGTTAGTGACAAAAATCAATATGGTGTCACACAACATTGATTTTGGTAAACTGTTTCTATGGATTAAAAAATGTATGAATGTAAAAGTTTGAATGTCATTTTCTAAGGGAAACTTTTGTACAAATATGCCAAAAATGTTTATCAGCAAATTTGATATTTTGTTTTTATCAAAGTTGTCATCCACTAAGTCATGCTGGCTTTAGTCACACCATGGGACATACTTTTGGTTTATCTCCAAAATGTGAAAAATCTAAAAACACAGCAGTGGTTTTCACATCAAGTAATTTTTACCATTTGCTGTGTCTAAAATGATTAATTTACCAATTTAATCCCCTTTTACTTACGGTCACAGGGAAAGTGCCACATCATATATTCATAGCTGTTCTATTCCACAGAGACAATGCAAAGCTGAACTTACCATTCACATCGCTCTCTTCACCAACATCCATGCTGTCAGTGCTTGAAGTTTCATCTGATGTCCCAATGGAAAGACAAAAAAGTGGACCGTCACCACTGCCCCCCTTAAAGAAGAAAAATAACATAATAAAAGTTATCTCTTTATCTCATGCAAAAAAAAAAAAATGCTTTTGGAGAGTGTTTCAGTGTTACTGTGTTTGGAACATTTTGAAGAGTCTTACAAGTTTTGTGCTTACCTCCATTGTGTATGTTTGTGTCTTCAGTCACCCCTCACTGGCACAGGATTAGATAATAATAAGATAATAAGAATAACTTTATTCATCCCTGAAGGAAAATTCAATTGTCTGAAACAGCTTCTTACTGAAAACAATAGTGAATGATTTTTTTATTTATTCAACACTTTATTTTGGACACAGAAGCGGTTCATGGAAAAAACATTTATACACAGAAAAGACAACTATTCCAAGTATCACATATTTGCATACAAGCTACAATGCCAGTGCCTCTAGAGCACTGAGGTCAACCTAACCGTATTCAGAGAGAGATTTGCCAGCGCAGAAATGCTGCTGTTTAGTCATTGAGCATTTGTGCACTTCTGAGGAGAGCAAACAGTGATAGCACAACACCTGAGCAGTCATCCAGATTTTACCGTCGCCAGTATCTCTTGTGGAATCAATTCAACCACACCCTGACTGAAACTATCGATATTGATTTTTAACAAATATGGGAACCAGAGATATTTTCTGAACCCAATTCTTGCCACACACCAGGCTGAGATTTACCACTGCCTTATGTAAGAGTTTAAACGGTCACTTTAAGCTCTACAGGGTCTTGTTACAATATTTATTTCACTATGAACTGATTTTGTGCCCTAACCAAATTTACATTTAATCACCACACAAACAGGATTCAGAAATCTCACCTTTGCAGATTAGATGTACACATGACAAACTTGCAGATGGACCCTGCAGCATACACCAGCGGTGAGCTGGAACATCTTCTCAGTGCCTCCAGTACTGAGAAGCACTGAGTTTTATACTGTTTGCTGAACACTTTCACTTTTGGTTTTAATACATTTGATCACGTGGTTTCTTGAAAACAAGATTGGGTGTACAGAGACTCATAAATTAGTAGTGGCAATTTTGGTCTGGAAAGTCTGGTGGGGCCATGCAGGAAGATCTCATAATGCAATCCAGAAATACCAGATATTACTTTAATACCCTCACAACAAAAACACAGTGGCAAGTGAGAGAGAGGACCACAGCACATCTGACGACAAAACTGCAGATGAATAATACCATCACACAAACATTGTGAAACATATATTATCAGAATCAGAATGCCCTTTATTGTCATTATACTGGAGTACAATGAGATTGGAGAGCTTCTCCATTTCCAGTTCCATAGAAGTAGAAAAAGAAGAAGAGAGAAACAGAATTAAAGGTACAATAAAAATAGGTACAAAATATATACAAGTTAAAAAATTTTTAGTGGAGTGCAAACAGTGCAAAAGGAAGATAAATAAATATTGAGAATAATATATATACCACAGCGAAACAGCCATTTCAGCACCAAAGACAGGTGAATAGCTCCCTTGGGAAACCCACGTGAGGTTGTGTCCACCAAACACACCCACGCACAGTTACGCATTACATAAATTTCACTTTTATTCAAACAATTTGTAAACTACATTATAAATTCCACGTAGAATAATAGACTCACCAATGTGGATCACTTTTTGAAGAGGAATGACGCTCTGCGGTCCTCCATGTGACCGTGCTGTTTAACTCCAACCATCCATGGATGAGTTTACTTTCAATAGAAAGTGCACCTGAAAATGCCAGGGTTTAACGTGCCCACAGACTCATCATGTCCACGCAGGGCAATTTCACACTTGCCACAAAGTTTTATACAGGTTATAAATCTCCCAAGAACATGTTTTCTTCAGTCTGTCTGTTTTGTTGTTCAATGGCACGTTGGTATGCTTTAAGCTGAGATGCAACATTTGTTTTCCCTAAAATACCTAGCTTGATGGCATTATCTTCAGGAGAAGCACAGCTTTTGTGTTTTACCAGCCTTTCTGAAAGATGTTTCAGATCTTTAAATCCAGTGGCTGTCCAGATGGTCTACCCCCCAAAGACCAGACATGGAAAACAGAAGAGGGCCTTTTTTAACAAGCTCCTGGTTAACCAAGATTTCCACTTAAACCATTCCTGGTTGAAGAATATTGTTTTGTCTTTTCCCTCTTGAGAGATGAATAAATCCTCCAGGTGATGTGGTGGAATATTGTTTTGTCTTTTCCCTCTTGAGAGATGAATAAATCCTCCAGGTGATGTGGTCCTAAACATTAATCTCCAACTTCCTCTCAAGTGGTAAAGTGCTGGATTACACGCCAGTTGGGTAGTCAACACGATTCATTGTAACAATGCAATGCATGAATGAATGAAATGTAAATTAGCTATGTTACGATACTACGGTAGCCGAGTTAGTGAGACATGTGCAGTTCCCGCTTTTTCTTCTAATCAGCCAATGAGAAGTGCTCTGGGGCCCTGAACTTAAGGGCCCACTGTCAAAACTTAACGCAAAAGACTCCATTGTAAATTTGTTAATTATACACTGACATATTAATGCATGTATTGCTTTTGTACAAAGAACTTAATATATTTAACTACCTGTGCATTTCAAGGCTGGGACAAGGGGCAGGTAGGTCATAAAAGATGTCTTGTCTAAACGACTTAATTAACAGTTTGTGTTTCTCCAGTTCCTGTGCAAGCTTTGGTGCCCTTGAAAGGTTTGAGCAAAAATGCTAACTGATCATTATCATTATTTCTATATTATTATTTTATTATCATGTTGTTGTTTTTTCTTCTCTTTGCAGCACAATTCCAGTTTTATACTGTTTGCTGACAAATTTTTACTCCTGGTTTGAGGATGAAGTCCACAATAGTTTATTGAACACGTGGTTTCTTGGAAATGAGAATGGGTTCAGAGAACTTGGTAAAAACTCAGCCAGCATTAATCTATTGAAGACAACCTTTGACAGTTTTTCTTATCTCCTGCAGCAGAAGGACCGTTTGTATGTATTAATACTTGGGCAATGCACATCATCAGATGCTTTAAAAATGTAGTTTTGAACAGCCCATCCAAGAGGTTACATTTTCATATTGAAAGAAACTCTCGTTACTAAAGCAAAAGATTGATCAGGGAGATTAAAAATGATATGTTAAAGTGTGTTACAAGGATTTAAGAGAATTCACCAGAATCATTGTCAGAATGAATAACCTTCATTCTGACAGCATCTCTAATTCTCGATTATATTGAGATGGAAAATGTTTATTTTATTTTATTTTTTTATTTGTGCAGTGTGACAGTGCAAGACATACAACAAACAACAGCATTTGTGGTTTTGTGTGTGTGTGTGTGTGTGTGTCTGTGTGTGTGGTGTGTGTATTATATATGTGAATAATAATGAAAAAAATATATATATATTATAATTGTCAGACAAGCAAATGAAAATTATAATAGAAGAATAATATCAATAATAATAATAATAATAATAATAATAATAATAATAATAATAATAATAATAATAATAATAAGAAGAAGAAGAAGAAGAAGAAGAAGAAGAAGAAGAAGAACATTCAATATTAATAAAGACGGTGAATAACAATAATAATAATTTGGGTGGAGGGGGGGTCTTGAAATTTGTGGACCACCTCGGGTCCCTTCCCACTCGCAGGAGACCTGCCTGCATCCCCCCAGGCACCCCCCCAACCCCCGCATGCCCCGGACTGAATGCGGCACAACATCTTGCCCTATGTCTATATATGTATTTAGTCTTTGTTATTTACTTAATATACTTTATAATTATGTATTTATTTATTTATTTATTTTTATCTATTATTATTATTATTTTCATTTATTTATTTATTTATTTTTTTTAATTTCTCTCATATATGTGCTTTCTAATGTTTTGCATTAAAACCGAGGAGAGGGGTTGTCCTGAACTATAATTTGATGTGATTGAGACCCCTTTCCTCTTCCTAATCTAGTGTGATGTGCAATAAAAAAGGTGATGTGCCATCTGAAGACAGTCCAGGGCGGAGAACTGGGAGAGGGGGGAGGCCGGGGGGGCAAGGAGATCACAGGTCATGGCCTAACAGGCGCGACCCAGCAGGGACCCGAGCAGAAAATAATAACTGTAAATGTAAGTATATAAATAAATAAGTATAAATAATAATAGAAAATGACAATGACAATAATATTCATCATAATATTTGTAGTAATATGTAGTAAAAAAATTAATAAATTAATAAAAAAAATAAAATAAAATAATAATAATAAAAATAAATAGATAAATAAAATAAAACAAAAAATAAAAAATTGGGAATGAAAGTGTCAGAGAACTGAGATGGATGATGTTGTGACTGGTTTGTGGCAGCTTATGATTGTAGAAAAGTGATGAATGATAACCAGGTAGAGTTATGATTATTGTCAGAGGAGTTTGTATTTTCTAAGGAGATGTAATCTGTGAGCAGGTTTTTCCAGTGTATGATGTGTATGGAGTTCCGAGACTTCCAGTTCATGAGGATAGTTTTCCTGGCGACGGTCAGTGCCACTAGAAGTGAACGTGTGTGTGTTTTGTCAAGTTTTAATGTAGATAGGTCTCCTAATAAACAGAGGGAAGGGGAAAGTGGGATGTGGCAGCCCATGATCTGGGATAAGATGATGGAAAATGGAAGATGGAAAATGTTTTTTTTGCAGATGTGCTATGTGATGAACTTAACTTCACCTTTAGCCTTGTCCTCACCTCCCCTGTTACAGTCAACAGGATGAAGTTCAGCTTGCCATAACTGTGCCCCTAACTCCCTTCCACATATTTAGAGAAGTGATAACCACAAGTGTCATGTTTGACATTTCCAACTTATGGTGTGGCAACTGTGCAGTTCTGATAACACATGTATCTAACAATACCCCACCCACCACACCCCTCAAGTCGACAAAGATAATGCCTTATACCCCACCCACCACCCCCCTCAGGTCGACAATGATAGTGCCTTATAATGGTGTAAGTCAAATGTCTGTTGCTGAGCAAATCCACCTGCATCCTGTCTGCTCAATAAATTTACAAAGACAAATGATTGACTCGAGGTCCTTTATTAATTCTAATTGGAAGACAAGCTTATTTCCAAAACAAAACCCTCTATGTGGTGTTCACACCAAGCTTAC